AAAAAAAAAAAAAAAAAAGGAAATGGCACCATCCTTTGCACAGTAACATGCAGTTGAGAAAACGCCAAAAAAAAAAAAGGGAACATTGAGGAAATGGCTCTAAACACTGTTCCCCACAATAAGGTAAAAAAAAAAGGGCAAAATAAGGTACCACACAAATCACTATAGCGGCTTGTTATTCATCTTTTTATTATAGGTAAGATAATATATATATACTCCGCACAGTACGGAGAGTTGCTCGTTTATATTTTTTTTGAGTCTTCATTTTTTTCCCGTATGTACAAAAATTCAATTAAGTTTATTTTGCTAACATTGCTTATATTTCTTTTTAATCATTCATATTCAACGCTAGAAAATAAACGAAAACAAAAAAAACAAAAAAATTTGATCGAAATGGAACTAATCACTGTTCTCAGTACAGTTCATAGAGTACAGTTCATAGAGTACAAAGAAAATGAAAAAAAAAAACTTTAAAGAAACAAAGGAAAAAAGCGCGTTTGTTTGACCCCCATTCTATTCCATTTTTTTCCATCCATTTTTCTACAGTTGTGGGCCCATGTGCATTTTTCGAACGTTACATTATTTGACAGCAGCAGGAAAAAAGGGCCAGATTTGACACATTGCAGTACAAATTATATTACATCCCGCAAATGCCCTTCAAATTGGAATGGATTAACGGATACACACTTTCAAATGAGGACAAAAAGGGAATTTCTGCTCAAACGGTAATATTAAAATTGATGGGAAGTCTGACACAAGTATTTTTTTTTTTTTTGATAAGAAACTTGCATTCAACAAACGGAATAACGGATTAACCGATTACAGACGAAACAAGCTAAAAAAGCTTGAGACACAGTCTGGAATACAATCCCAAAAAAACAACAGTCCGAAAACAGACAAACAAAAGACACAAACTATACACAACCCGAAACAAACGAAGCCAAAGAAGTCTAAGGACATCTGTGACTTAAATAAGGCAAGCACAACCCTATAAAAGTCAGCTACGCCATCGGCACTATCGCACCTCCACGAACTCATAAGCGGAAATTGTCAAGACTTCATCCCGGCCACACAAAGCAAACAACACAAATTGAATAGAAACTAAACAACCTCAACAAACCTAAACACAAACACACACCCCCAAACAACAACCAAACCCCAACAAAACACTCCACCAATATCATCCACGCCACTGCTGTATCTCCCGCCAAAAGGCGCACCGACAAGAACCCCGACAGCAACAGTACCCACGCCGATTCCCGCCACCAGAGAGCACAACAATCGAAGCCCACCACACAACACCAGCCAAGCCACGCTTCCCCTGCTCTCCGGCCAAAACCCGCGCGCACACCACCACTATCAAGCTCACCGACCTCACCACCACCCCCAAAGCGGCACCAGCAAAATGGCAAACCACGATCAGAACGACACAAAACAAACCCAAATCAAAGCCCAACAAAATAAAACAAACAAACCAAAAAAAACCACCCAATCACAGCCAAACAGGGCACAAACTCAACGAAACCCTGAAACCCTGAAGCACAGTCTCCTCCGGCGACGAAGGCCCCCGACAACGACAACACCCTGGAAACTCCGGCATCGCGGGAAACAACAAAAACGACACGAGGACCCAGTTCTTCGTACGAGCAACATCAGCCTCCACAACCGGAGCCTGGCCATACTAGCCCCAGCCGTACCTCGGCCGCCGCCCGAAACCAACCAGAGCCCAGCTTGCCACCGGTCAAAGCCCCAACACCGCACCAGACCCTGCCTCCACCCAAGCCATCACCGCCCACCACAAAGACAAAAAACGGGAAAACAGAAAAAAGAAAGAAAACAGAAGGGGAGAAAAGGGGACGGAGATAGGGCTGAAGCTCCCACCCCCGTCAAAAGACGCTCAGACCAAGAGAGAAATCAGGAGAGAAGAGCGTTGATTGTGAAAATTAAAGAAGTAAACACAAGTATTGATTGGTGGGTGGCGTGTCCAATTCTTTCACTATTGCAAAATGAGTTTTGGCCAAAAAAAGGGCGAAAAAAAGGGGCTAACGGGAGGGAAAAAAAAGAAGCAAAAGAAGTCCATTTTTTATTACTGTGCACAAAAGTTACAAAAAAAAGGGGCCAAAAAAGGACTACACTAATCACTGTAGCGCCTCCTCATTCATCTTTTTATTATAGGTAAGAAATAAGCATTGTTCAATTTTCTATTCCCGTAATTTCGAATTATAATTTTACATAAAGAGGTATCCATATAAGGTAGTATTGTCTGTTAAAAAAAGAGTTCATCTCTTATCCCGACGTATTAAAAATTTGTTTCTTACTCCACCACATTTATGGAAGTCACTAATTTAATTAAGTCGTCGTTCTGTCTATATTTTTATTGCCCCCTATCTTCTATAAATTTGTTTGAGCCCCATTTTTTTTTTTAAAATGCATTTTGAAATATTGATTTAATGGAGAAATTGTGGTTAAAAAATAAGAAAAAAATTTAGAGTTTGCGTAAAATATTATTTTATTGAAAAATATATGGTTGAAAATAAGAAATAGAAAAATGTATTTTGGAAATAATATGTACCAAATAAGGGCTTATATATTGTTCAAAGCTGTTTTAGCAAACAAAGTGGGAAGTGACTGGACTGTATTAATTTTAGAGAAATTTTGCAACTGAGATCCCAAATAATTCAAGAATGTGCATCACAGTCCAAATTTTTAAATCGTAGCACACATGTCTCAATCATTTTAATAAACTAGTGTGGATCGTGCGTTGCACGATAACCGTTATAATTTTTGTAAATCCACAATTGAGCAATGGCAAAAATAACATCGAATTGTTTCAAGCAATGAATATTTAGACATCCTTTAAATTACACTATTTAAATCTCCACTTCATTTACAAAAATTGATCCCCTTTTATTAACGAATTTCATCCTTTCAGAGAGAGAAATTGTGCAGAAGGAAAGAAAAATAAACTAAGCTAATGCTTAAGCACTTGATAATCCATCAATTTCTCGGCATTATCTCTTTCCTCTTCACTCAACTCCTTGAAAAACCTTTGACTAAACAACCCATAAATGCATATTTACATAATATTCAATTGTTGGGCACTTTACCTTCCCCCTCCCAGCTCAAGATTAATGCAAGATTTGCAAGAAGAAAATGCACCAGCAATGGAAACCAGAACAGAAGAATAGATGAANTTTTCAGATAAATAATATCATATTTCTCTACAGACTTTTACCAGTCTCAAGCTCTCTATTTAGAGCTCCATTTTTCTTATTTTAGAGCTCCTCCTTTACCAGAGTTTCCAGAGCTCTTTATAACTCATTTACCAGAGTTTTCGAGCTCTATATCAATGATAATAGGAAAATGAAGCTCAAGTTTGAGCCCCATTTTTTCTCTTTTTTTCCCATTCAAACTGAGACATACAAATAAGACGGACAAGAAACCAATGAACATATTTAAAACTCTACCTGACCAGCAAGAAGGTTACATAGCCAACATTGCTGAGGATCCAAAAATATTGTATGGAACTGGTCTTCACAAGAACATAGTTTCACATTTTTTTGGCAAAGAAATGGAGAAAACAACAATAACCAAAAATATAAAAAAAATGAAGAATCTGAACGCTATGTATTGAAGGAAAAAAGAGATGAAATACATACCTTCTGGATTTATCCTCTCCATTCCTTAAACGTCCCTGATTTAGTTCTACATAAAATCACAAACAAAAATAGGAAAAACCACATCAGAAATACCCACAAGTCTATGTTTAGATGGAATTGCAAAATGACCAGAAAAAGTTAGTGTTTACAACAATAGAAGATGCTTTCTAAACTTAAGACTCATCTCCATATATAGCATGACAGAGACATTGTGAAATCTAAAAGAGGCAAGCATTTTGTTGATACATACATGAGAAATCATACGTCCACATGCCAAATTCAAGTTGACATTTCAGAAAAAACAAGAGCATATGTACTTTGGAATATCTAATGTATTCATATTTTTAATGATGCTTAACTAAAGGATTTACAAGTCATGTTTTAATTTATTGCAAGTTCTCACATCAAACCACAGAGAAGAATAAAAACCTTAGAAATGATATGAAGAGAACAAATAGCAGTCATTATGCAATGTCTCTATTGATATATTTAAATCTCACCTGATGAAAATTCATATATTATCCATCATGATTGTAAGGCTTCTCTTCCTTGATATTTTACATTGTGCTATTTGCAGAAATTTAAAATGAGCTACAACAACAATTTTCTTTTTAACTGGAGTTAAAGTTTAAAGAACAGAAAATATTTACACTTGTGCATATAAAAGAAGTGTAGGGTGGCAATGAAATGGGATGCGAGAATTGTATCTATCAGAATACAAGCCATCAGAATTGTATCTATCCCTCTACAAGCCATCAGAATTGTCTCAATCACCTGTTCCATATCATTGGCAATATCAATCCCATCAAAGCTAAGGATAACATCAGATGGTTTCAAAATTTTGAATTTTAGAGCACTGGGACCAATTTTTCTTATATGAACACCCTTTTGATCAGGTTTCCATCCCAATCGACAACCGCAAGACCGGATTTTACATATGCTATCACTGAACTCATAGAATAGGGAATCCTGGTTTCTATTCTACACCGTTGTTGACATATTCTGCTTTTTACATGCCGTATTAAGTGATATCGTGGAAGATGATTTTATAGAATCAGAAAAATGATAATGAAGTCAATTGTTACCTCTGCTGTAATAATACCCCCGTAAGGATGATCTTCACCATCCTGCTATGTAAACATACGGAGTAACCAACATTTTTAATAAAGAAGGAAATTGGTAAAAGAAAATGATAAAATTGGCAAGATAGGTGGGCAGTGCCGCAGTAGATCCCCTAGCTGTCTGTCAATGTTTTTCATTCATATGGGTAAATGCTTGATAGTGAAGTTTTAGAATATTTAGCGAGTATCAATGCACATGAATCATACTTTGTACGTTAAAAACTAATAAATAGATTGTGTAAACAAACTTATCTCCGTGTCTTCCGATGCCTAGATTCCTGGGCAGCAACAAGGGAAAATGTGAAAAGTGCATGAAGGAGTTAGTTTAATCCAGTACCTTGTTCTGTCAACTGACAGTAGTACTTTAGAAAACCCGTATCTATAGAAAAAGAAAAGTGATGGAAAAGGAAAATGATATTGGAAGTCCTCGTAACATGGAAAAAGATTAGCACATCAATTAATTCAAAAAGTCATGTATCTCTGGCTTAGGGGAAAACTGATGCTAGGATATAAATTCGAGCATCATTAATATGAATCATTTGAAAGTCCTCATA